CTTCCATGCCTCCGGCAACCCCGTTCGACAGACCGTCGACCAGACTTTGTAGCAAACTGGTCACCCCAGCAACGGTTGCTGAGGGGCAGTCGACAGAGCCGGACTCGGACAAATGCGGTCCCGGGAGTCCCGGGACCGCCGGGGCACCGGTGGAGCAGTCGAGAGCCAATCCCAGCCGGACGTTGGGTAGGTTGGGGAAGAGGTTGGCGGCGGGAGAAGGCAGATCGACGGGAGTTTCGAGGCCGTTTCTGGCCGTCCGGTAGAAGGGAGGACCAATGGGAAAGGGCATTTCGGCAGAGGGGCCCATCGACTCGGGGGCCTCGAGGAAACCGGCCAGTCGAGCAGATCCGTTCAGGCTCCTCGGAGTCGACAGAAGAGCCGAGGCGAACGGCGGAGTGATCGGAGCGTAGAAAAAGGGACCACCGGCTGAAGGGTTGCTATCGCTCGTGTCGGCTTGACTCACAAATAAACGTGGAGGGATATTGGGAGAAGAGGGAACTGAAAAGATATTATCTAAATTCTACTCATTTCTAACGTAATTAACTCTCTATCTCTCTCTTCTCGTCTAACCGATTCGACGAAAAGATGGTCGTTTCTGCAACAATGTTGCCTTGACAACAACAAGACCGGCCAACTAGTCGCCACGAGGTGATGCATTTTCACACAATTCTGTGCGTAATTGCATGTCGAGATTGTGAGCTTATGAGGCCAGGTCACACAAAGTCCAACTTACAGTCGTGGCTGTATGAAACTCAATGAAAAAAAGTGATACCGGTGCATAGAACGATGGGGAAATTCACATTCAAAGTGATTGGAATTCCCACTTTAACTGAATGCCAGCAAGAATTGGCCAAATCAAAACTATGAATATGAGATTTCCGGATTGGAGCAAATCAAAACGACGCTATTGCACGTATACTTGCTTCCCGGCTGATGAAAAATCTGTGTGCAACGCCATAGAATTTATTCGGAAAAAACACTCATAAAGTCTTATTCTTTAAAGTAAATGTGAAAAAGTAAATCCTAATTGTCAAATTGATGTAGGATACTCTTGGTGATATATGCGAAGCAAAGTTGTGTTTCGAGGAATCTCTTGTTTCATACTCGTCAGCTTGAATTTGGTTGTGACGATGATACGTTGCTGTGATGATGTTCGTCATATGACGGAAGAAAGCTTATCAACTGTTCACCGGAATCGAAGACGATCACCTCGACGACCGTGTCAACAAGAATGTTCAAGTAAAGCCAATCGGCCGCTGGTCACCAAACACTTTCACTCGAAATGGAAGTTGAAAATAGACACGTTCAAAAAGAAGAATAACTCTTTAGAAGAGATCTTATTCCGACAAAGATCACATGACTCTAGGATACACGTTGCTTTAATTCGTGTCGGTTTCCGTCTCTTTTCCACACAAAATGAATCATTTTTGGGCAATTTAGCCCACCTTTAAGGCGTTTTTCGGCTATAAAACTTGACACTATCCATAACCCTCAGGGTGGGCACGCATTTTGCATGATCCATTGTTTGTGATTTTTGCATTAAATAGCAAAGCATTAGGAAGTGGGGGGATTGGTAGAAACTTCAAAATGTCGATATGAAAAGATATTCAATACAAAAATGTGATAATTTATACGAGCTCTGTGGCACTCATAACTCGGAAACACATGTGCTGTACGGGCTTGTTTGCCGAAAAAGTATAACACTAATGAAAGACAATTTGTTA